ATTTTTCGGAAAATTATTAATTTTTATTATTTTCATAAAAATTTCATAATTCCAAGACATACAACAGCATCCTATCACAAAAGCCTGGTGCTTGTCACAGCAATGTGGAATTTCTGCTACTGGCTCAGGACCACCAATGGAGCTGGATACTGCCAATCACTCAATGGTGTGGAGATACAAGTGCAATCCACTGCTGAATTATGGTTATCCAACACCGTGCGGGTCGTGGGGGTTATATGACCATTCTTCATCGTGGAAGTCAACATGGGTTGATGAAGACGGGTAGATGTTTCTGCACTGTCCTATTCTGTCCACTATGTAGCCCCAAAACCGATAACCTGTAAGTTGAACTTCTTTTGGACCGTACGTAGCCAACCGTGTGAATCGGGGGTGCAGGGAAGGACAACAAACTAAACACAAAAAGTACCTCTAATTTTTTTGTATCTAGATTTAAAAGTGCATAGCTCCAGTAGCTTCCTAATATCAGAAGGAAAGGCGTTCCAGATGACCACAGAAGCGCATCTGGAAGCGCACGATGCGGTAACCGCCTTTGTTCGATGACCAGCCAAAAGCCACTGCGAGGATGACCGGAGTTCGCGTTATGGTCTATGCCCCTTGACGAGATGAGCAAGATGTATGCATGGTGGTCACTCATTCAATCACTATCCGGGCTCAAATCGGATGACATCAGCCACATTGAGTGATGACGTGGCCCAGCAGTAGCGCATTCGCCGCTTGTCACAAAGGTGCGTTGTTCTAACCCGGTGGCCGCCCTGGTTATTACCGTGGGTGTATTTAATGTGCATAAAATGCAAGCCGTCTGCTCCAAAGTATACGTTAATGGTCCCATTACCGTCATTCGCAAGAGTCGGCCATTATGTGCTGGTGTCACGGTCCACATTTGTAAAATTAAACCTCGATTGCTCAATTGGGATTTACACGCAGCAATCATTGGCCCGAATGTACAAACTTGAAAAAAAGTCAAGATACTTACTGAGGCTATCCTGGGTAAACAAGCATGATAATACATTCTGTCCAATTTGGTCATAAGCAGTGATATACACTATATATTAGGTGTTAGATCATATAGACCTACTTAAATGTAGCAACCAAATTGCTTTAATTGCATTTGCTGAGCAGATCTACAATAAGATAGCAGCCAGCACCTGAGAGATTCGGGTAATATTGGAATGAGAGATATACATGTTCTCATCTGGCATAAGCAAAACGGCCTACGCTTCAAAAGTATCCGTTGGCAGATTACCAGGGTTGTGGATTCAACGTAACGTACATCAATAAATTGATATTTTCACAATTTTGCTTGTCTTGAAACGATGGTGCTGATATGCATTCACTGTAGGCTGTGCGGCTGGTGGGTTGTGTAATATTTTCGGATGTGTGAAAGCGACACATTTTCTGCTTAATAATTGCGTTGTTATATTCTCCACAACGATGCGTGCGATTCTTTATCTTAACGTGAGAGATGTTTCAGCCGCTCTTCCTCGCTTGAGGCTCAGTCTCTCAGTGCCCACGAGACCAGCAACGTCTTGCGAGTAATAAATAAAATTACATTTCTAAAATATCTTGAACGTCTATTTTACGGCACGTGCCTGCGCGATTTGGTAATTTCCTGCAGGAAGTATGAAAAATAAGAATTGGTTTTACCCTTTCTGGCAAAAAAACAGGTGTTAAGATGTTCAAAAACCAAATACATCCCTTTTTGCAAGGAATTAAATCGGATTTATTCACACATAATTGTGGTAAAACAAGCAAACAAACATGCTCTGATAATTTTTGCATTGTCTTTGAAACTGATTGGCCTACACCTTCTTCTATATGGCCTTGTCTCACCAGTGTTAGACCAGACAAACGCCAAAAGGCGAACATTACAAAGACAATGCAACATTTACAGCTCGGGGTGGAGGAGTTATATTTATGGGACCTTTTTGTCAGAATCAAAGTGTGAAAAATAAGAATAGGTTTTACACTTTCTGGCAATAAAACAGGTGTTAAGATATTATATTCTTGGTTCTTTTGGTAAAGTCACGTAGAAGGGAAATAATACATTTAATAAAATAATTATTTCCCTTCTACGTGACTTTACCGAAAGAACCAAGAATATGAATCCCTGCAGTCACGAAAGCTTTAAATCAAAATGTAGGTGTTAAGATGTTAAAACACCCAACAGATACCTTTTTGCAAGGAATACAAGTCTGCATTAACCACACGTGCTTGTGGAAAAACATGCAAACAAGACATGCTCTGATAATTGTATAATGTATGCATTGTCTTTGAAACTGATTGCGAGTGACCGTGACGGGAATGGAACCACCGGTCCCACGAAAACCGACCATCTTGACCACAAAGCCACGGAGCCGCCATAGTCTAAATTAATGATGATATATGGTAATAGGATCCAATATTGCTTTTTGTTAAGCATATATTTGTGCACCTATACACAGAATTGCTCATTTAGCCCCTAAGTATTAATGCATTCTGAATACCACTCCATCAATCACTTTGGGTTACGCATTTCAAACGCTGGGCATTTCGTGTATACTCTAAATTATTATGTTTTCATATGCATGATTACCACAAAGGTTACTGGTCAGCAGAAATGAATGAACCAGATTACGGAGAGTTCACAGTAAATAGCAATTGTTATACTTCACTATCCTTTAGTTATATAGGATATCATCCTCAATGAGTCTCAACAGTCTTCTTGGTTCTTTCGGTACAGTCACGTAGAATGGAAATAATAAAATAATAAAAATAAAACATCATAAAATAATTCTCACGACGTTTCGGCCACAACGCAAGCAGCCGTTCTCAGGTGAAGAACAGGTCTGTCGAGAAGACAGAGTCTGAATGACACACCCCAGGCTTGGAGCGTCTATTTAAGCTGGCATGGAGGGGGAAGAGCGCCTTGAGTCTCAACAATATTTATCAGGAGGGTCCTGCAATGGTCATCATCAACACCTGCCATGATAATTCCACTGCTGGATGAACGCCTCACAAAGCCCCCTTTGTCATCGCTCACAATCTCGCACCTACACACGAGTTAATCACATTGCTCTTTGATGGATGGCCTCTTGTGCACATATCCCTCCTTGGACTGCCACTCAATAGTTAGTCTCAAACTGTCCGCCATCATCGCTTTTAGCAATGTGTTTTTTCCCAAAAGCACTTACATGATGTCTCTAACCTGCGTTGTTATCCATTCCATTGGTTCCTCTATGTTTTTGTATTGCCAAGGTTTTGATGGATTAATTTTTTTCGTCAATTACAGAGTGGATTATTGACATAATACTAAAAATGCACGTTTGGTAACTGGGAAGAAACCGGGAAAAACCGGAGAAACCCCACGCATATGAGAGAGGGGAACATTCAGAAAAACCTACAAAACCCTCTATGTTGAACTTCTTTCGCACCGTACGTAGCCAACCGTGCTAATCAGAGGTGCCAGGGAAGGACAGAAAACTAAATTTGTTTATGGACCCACTAAAGACTGAACAAGCTCAAGATCTGCATTTCGCGTGGATTTTTTTTTTCGCCATCGGTTGAGCAGCACACAATTAAACACCCAACAAACCGCACCACCAACATTTTAATAGGAAATAACACAATACGTGTCTCGAATTGCACAGGGCTACAAGATATATATAGTTTGAGAGGATATGGGAGGGAATTTCAAAGTCGAAACCAGACAACCAGGGCGGACCATGCGCCATCAACGACAGCGGAGTAATTCTAGATTTGAAGCTTTGGAGTAACCAATTGAAGTCCATGCCAGAGGTCGCAACCGGGTACCCGATACCCGTACCCTACCTGATACCCGTACCCTACCCGATACCCGTATCCTACCCGATACCCGTACCCTACCCGATACCCGTACCCTACCCGATACCCGTATCCTACCCGATACCCGTATCCTACCCGATACCCGTACCCTACCCGATACCCGTATCCTACCCGATACCCGTATCCTACCCGATACCCGTATCCTACCCGATACCCGTATCCTACCCGATACCCGTACCCTACCCGATACCAGTACCCTACCCGATACCCGTACCTTACCCGATACCCGTACCCTACCCGATACCCGTACCCTACCCGTACCCTACCCGATACCCGTACCCTACCCGATACCCGTACCCTACCCGATACCCGTATCCTACCTGATACCCGTACCCTACCTGATACCCGTACCCTACCCGATACACTACCCGATAAACGTACCCTACCCGATACCCGTACCCTACCCGATACCCGTACCCTACCCGATACCCGTATCCTACCCGATACCCGTACCCTACCCGATACCCGTACCCTACCTGATACCCGGCTACCCGGCCGGGTACCGGTACCCGTTTGCGACCCTGGTGCGGCCGGGTACGGGTAGACCGTGAGTCACTGGTCAGTATCTGTCACTCATTTCCCAACGTCTTGTCTCTTCTCACAATTCAAGTTGCTAGAATCAACCCACCCGCGCCTGCAACATGGCTTCATCCCAGAGGTCGCAATCAGGAACCCGATACCCGTACCCTACCCGTACCCGGCCGGGTAGGGTACGGGTGCGGCCGGGTACGGGTATGGTTTGCGACCTCTGGTCCATGCTCACAGCAAGCACAGTAGCAGCGATATAAAGAGGAGGCGGCTGACAGCAGCCGGTGTGTGAGCGAGTGCCAGGAGTGAAACGATGAGTGTTGGATCAACAATCAACTTCACCGCTTTACGCTGCACTCCAAAGTCCAGCACACGGAATATGTGAATACGGTACATCACGCGACCAGCGTAACAGGCTTATATCGAGTGTGTATCAAACAAATTAACTATTTAGCGTTTGCTAAACGCGTACAGCGCGCATGTATACACGTGCACACACACGTGTAAAACAACACACGTACAGTACACAGTACAGTGTCTGCAGTATTGCAGTCAACACGCGCTGCGGGCTAACGCAAAACCGAGGTCCCCGCGCGTTAGAAACAGCGTACACGTAGAAAGGCGACATGTTACATTACGAGCAAATGAATGTGAACCATGACAGTGAATAAGAATGCAACACACAGACGTTGAAGCGCCGTGTTTACATACGGACCGCCGCGACATCCCTTTGTAATGAGCCCAGTTTACGAATTACACTAGCCCCGCCTCTCGGCGCACGCGATTGGCTGCCCAGGCGTCACGTGCTCGCGGTCGACCAATAGAAAGCGTCAATTGTTGCATTATTTTTACACCACCCCCCTCTCTCTCTCTCTTACTCCCCCTTCGCCCCTCCCCTCCCCCGCCCCTCCCCCCTCCTTCGCCCCTCCCCCTTCCTTCGCCCCTCCCCCTTCCTTCGCCCCTCCCCCCTCCTTCGCCCCTCCCCCTTCCTTCGCCCCTCCCCCTTCCTTCGCCCCTCCCCCCGCGTCACTCGCCCCGCCTTCTTTGCGGCCTAGTGCCAATGTGACGAAGCCTGTGCATTTGCGCGGGAGATTAAACAAATCCACACGTGTAAACAAAACAATAAACGCCTGATGGGTTTTTTGTTGTTGTTTCTGCGTGTTAATTGCACGAGCAAATAAAGGGAGGGAATTGTGCAATATGTTGCTTTGTGTTTGTCGATGTGTTCATAATAGCAGCGTCCACAGATTGATTTTTTAAAAATACATTAACTATCAGCACTACTTAACAAATAGTGAGCGAACTTAGGTTTTTTCGGTAAAGTCACGGAGGTAAAAATAAAAAATATAGTGAGCGTGCATTTAAAGTAGGGGTTTCCCTCAGAACTCTTGTTTCTAGCCCTTCCCGAGGCAGTTGCGAAAATTACACATTACTATGACGTGACTCAATCATGGGACCTCCTTTGCCAGTACCAAAATATGATAATAGGGTTTTCCCTATTTTTCTAGCAACAAAACAGGTGTTAAGATGTTAAAACACCAAACTGAAACCTTTTACAAGGAATCATGTCTGAATTAACCACAATGCTTGTGGTCAAAACGCAAATAAAAAAACACTGATAAATGCATTGTCCTTGAAACTGATTGGTCCACACCAGAGACAGCTTTCTTTTGAGCCTCGTCTCAAACGGTGTTAGACCAGAGGACGCCAAAAGGCATCTTTTGGTCAAATAAAAGGCGCCTTTTGGCGTCCTCTGGTCCGTGTTGAGCTGCTGAAGTGTTGGGTGGGCAGGCCATAAAGGTCACGGATTTGAGTTACCGTTCCATTCATTGAACGGGGCAGTAGAACTCTGAAATATCTAATGACGTGCAAAATACATTGACACCAACAATAAGAATAGGTTTTGCCCTTGCTGGCAATAAAGCAGGGGCTGTTAAGATGTTTAAAACACCAAATAAGATACCTCTTGCAAGGCATCAAGTCTGTATACTTGTGACAAAACACCACGCCCGGCCACCTTTGCCTTGTGGCGATGTTTATAAACCGCACCAGTTACTCATTTTAGGCCGAGTCGACCCAGGGAAGGCCCAGGACCGGTTCAGATAATCATGACCGGTGTTGATCGTGAACGGCAATCGAACTGGGGTCACCGGGTTAGTAGCGCAGCGCTATAACCGCTCTCCCCTACACAGATATATACAGAGATACACACAGACACATACAGAGATACACATAGACACAACATTGTGTGTACTGTGTGTGTACCGTGTGCTAGGTAGGCAGCTGTTTCCTCACGCGGTTTCGCACTGTGTACCCTATTTTTTATCCCTTTTTAGAACGCATCTACTACAAGTACTACTTCTACCACACAGAGCGAGTGAAACCGTGTCAGTAATTAAACTTGCGGGAGAGTGGGCGAGGTGGGAAGGGGGGGGGGGGTACTCAACATACAAAACATAATAATTCTGGCCAAATCCCCCAATAATTGCTTGATGTAATTATCAGCGAAACGTCGTACTCGAATTGTAAATGTCGTGGATTTACTCTCCAACACACCGGCGGTCTGAAGCAGTAACTAACCTTAATAAAGTTGTCTGTGCCGGGTGGCGGCGAGTTAACGACACATTTATACTCACGCGATCTATCCCAACAAAGAAAAACCTTTATTATGAATAATACTAATGATGATGACGATGGTGATGCCAATAACAGCAAAATGTTCCACGCTGTGACGACCCGAGACGAACCACCGTTGGCGAAAGCATTGCATCGCTCTGGCAAAACGCGCCACGCGGGGTTTACTCCTCTCTAGATTTGAAGCTTTCGTGACTGCAAGGATTCATACTCTTAGGTTTTTTCGGTAAAGTCATGTAGGTAAAAAATATAAATAATATAAATAATAATTATTTTATTTCCATTATTATTTCTATTATTTTTCTTTTTTACCTACGTGACTCCTCTCGTCTTCCACACCGGTAAGCCCCTGGCTCATGCGCCCATCCATCCTAATGTGCCTTGTCCGTCCGTCCGTCGGTCTGCCCCTGTAATCGCATCCGTCGCGATCCACGATACGGGCAAAGGCATCGCGACACGACCGCACGCCGGAGGAGAATTTGTTTTAAATGAAAGGGCCGTCACAGTTAAATTCCGATTTAAAGCTTTCGTGACTGCAGGGATTCATCTTCTTGGTTCTTTCGGTAAAGTCACGTAGAATGGAAATAATAAAATAATAAAAATAAAACATAATAAAATAATTCTCACGACGTTTCGGCCACAACGCAAGCAGCCGTCTTCAGGTAAAGACCAGGTCTGTCGGAAAGACAGCGTCTGAAGAACAGGTCTGTCGGAAAGACCTGTTCTCCACCTGAGGACGGCTGCTTGCGTTGTGGCCGAAACATCGTGAGAATTATTTTATTATGTTTTTTTTTTCATTCTACGTGACTTTACCGAAAGAACCAAGAAGGCCGTCCCAGTTGTCCGCTAAACCCGCAACCCCGTCCCACATCTCAAACAGCACGGAGCTAAGAGGACGTTGTAGAGTAACAACCCCGATTTACGTCCCCTCCCCGCCGCCCACCTTTTGTTACGTCGTTTTGCAAATACGCCGTCGCTTCATTAACTCCGCTGCCCGATTTGAGTGGCCTCGATCCCCACACGTACGCCGCTCACAGCGTCGTCCGTCCTTTCTCCATCGCCTCTCAGCCCTTCTTCGACTCCTCTAGCTCGCTTCGATTTTACGTCGTTTCGATATACGTCGTCGCACTTTTCGGGAACGCGTTCCCTTCGACGTAAGTCGGGGTGTTGCTGTACCGTACCCCTACACTGTAAAAAATGTGACACATTGTTACTTAAAAAAATTATGGCAACAAAGTGACACGTGATATAATTGAGTAGATTTTAAGCACTACAACTTTGAATAAAAGTATTGAATAAATTAACTAAAAAATAATTAAATTCTACTTAGTTATTGATGGCTGATTTTATTCGAACAAAACTGAGTAAAATACAATTAATAACTAATAGAAAAGTGTTGAATTCAGCTCAATGTGATTCCAAACTACACATAGTCATTATTTTTATGTATAGGCTACTCTTATATATTTGCTAAAAATTAATTAACCCCAGTCTCGGTTTTTACAGTGTTATAGCCTGGCGATTTCAAATTAAATTTACGCTGCGTCTTGCGATGGGTGTGTTCGGGCTTGCCACCTGTCCAATTCCCGGACTCTCCGGCTTTTACAACGCACTTTGCTGCACGGCCCCTTTCTGCTGAACCTGGAAACCTCAGTTTGAGTCCCAACCAAGGTGAACATCAGTGGCGAGTGACAGCTGACACGTCTTGGGCACCACCTACCTATTGACCAACGTGGTAAAGTATGGTCAACCAACCCCCCTGAGTAATACAGACAGCATCGGGCGGCTTTAATCCGGCAATGGATTCATAAATAGTTGGATTTTTTTGTTATATATATGAATGTACTACACGTAGCTAAGGCATTCATTTATCACAGACCTGTCTTGACTAAAAGCATTCGAGATTAGAATGGTTCTTCCCGTTGCTTTGGTTGAATCACGGATTCTACAATGTCCCGTGAACTTGGGTGCATTAACCTGCAGTAGCTAATGTCATGGGTTCTTGGAACTGACAGCGAGAGTGGGTTACCTGCCTCCCTGAGACCCGTTTATTAAATATGCTCCCTAATGCATGTAAATTGATGTAAATGTATTTTGCTCGGTAACTCTCCGATTCGTTTTGAGTTTGTACCGCGCGCTGCTCGGCACACAGTGTCCGATGTTCCGCTCCACGTTCTAGGATCTTCTTCACGTGCTGAATCAGAAGTTTTGGCTTCACAGTTAGTAGATTACGTTAATAAAAAAAGACCGAGGTTCAGTATTTTTATTAGTTTCACCTGGAGAAACACATCCTTCAGATGGAACGTCCCGCATATAAGGTTAAAGATGATTCGATTATTAATAATAATCTAATAATCTGCATTAATAGGGCGCTTGAATTCCTGAGCAACTGAAAGCACCTTGAACGATTAAACTATTTTTATTTTACCAGATAAAGCCCACTGAGCTAGATAACTCTTCTTCGAAAGTGACCTGGCCACAAATGATAGCTCAACAAAGTGACTCATCACATGGAAATGTATTGCAGCTTAATCACCCTAAACGCGTGACGTTGATTCTAAATGTGGAGGTAAAAACCGATGGACCAGGAAAAAAAATCCACGCGACCACGGGGAGAAAGACATGCACACTCCAAATATACAACAGGTGTCAGGGTCGGGATCGAACCCACGACCTCCTTCATACCAGGTGAGGTAGTTAACATCGCGCCATGGTGGCGCCCAACAGTAAGCCCTGGGCCCCCCCTCCATCAAATCGAATCCTGCCTTGCCTGTGCTCTATGGGCGGCACCCAAAGCTTTAACCGACACAAGACAAATCGTGTTTGCTCTTGTGCGAACGGCATTGCTCACGGCTGTTGACGTCTCTCAGACGTCAAACCCCTTTCGTGGCCGCAGTGGCCAGTTTGACAAAGGCGCGGTCTTGTCTCAGCTGGGAGGAGTGGAAGGAGGAGCGGTGATCACCTGGGAGTGAGTGAGCGTGTGTGTGTGTGTGTGCCGGACGCTGTCACTTTAACTGATGGACACCAAAGGTGAGTCGATCATCCCTGCTCCTCCTCCTCCCCCCCACCACCACTACCCTCTCCCCTTCCAG